GCTACAGCAATAAAGCCCTTTACACAAAACCGTGAGGTATCTAATAAGCGGTGCTCTCACAGAGCAACTGCATTCCTACAGCCAGTGCCCTCCGACCACGACAACCAACTTTTTTCTCTCTCACACCCACATACTAACACCCCTTAGCCCCCCTCATGGAAAATAAGACCAAAACAATTAAAGAAGGATGGAGGAGAGGAGACATAAAGTAAGTTTCCTACAATCCTGATGCTTGGCAGAAAGAAACCCCTGGCAAAAGAGATATCAGCAGGGGAGCGCAGTCTTATTCCTGGAGTTGGACAGGGGGCTCAAGAAACAAATCCTATTATGGCCCTACTCCATAGGACAAACAGACACGGAGCTTTAAGCAAGGCCCCTGGCTGAGACTGGCATTTCACTGTCTTTTACTCCAGAGGGTCCCACAGCTCTGCAGCAACCGTCGCACATCAGCCGAAGGTCCTGAGAATGACCTGCAAGATGCTGGTGAATGCGACCTTGTAACCCTCTTAAACATCACATTCCATACGGACAACTTTTGGACATTTTACTAATGCATTGGTAACTGATTAATCACTTTTAGCTGATTAAATTATTCTGATGAGACAAAATTACATTTATAGTTAAGGTAGGAAAAACTCATGAATATGCTGCCTCTTCATTCTTGCCATTCATGAGAAAGATGCCAGTTTCTACACTGTGTAACAATACACTCAATGCAGTCAATCTGAAAACTAAACAACACACTAAAGTCAATTTGTTGGTATTTATAATGCTAACAGTTTCAAAATTATTTATTTATTTTCAGTAGGGATTCACTGACATTTTCAAATTCTAGGAAATTCCAAACAAGTTGATAAATATTTTTGTGTTACTGATAACTGATATCACAACTGATAAATGGCAGATATAAAACATTCAATACTATTTTGTCTAAATAAATTAAAATTAAAACACTAGAAAAATAAAATCCATTATTTTAAATGCTACAAGGGAATTTAAGACATCAAACAATATAATGTAGAGTATGAAAAAATAATAAATTATTTTTAGATTTGCTAAAGATTACATTTAACAGTGTTATTAAATTATTAATGTTTTCAAAAAGATTAACTTCAAGTGAGCAATCTTAAGTGCAAAAAATAGGAAAAATAGCAGGCACAATTAAATATCCAATATTGACTGATACTGATAAATCAAAAGAAAAATCTCTAATAACATCCAACAACTGAAATGGTGAAAAAAAGCATTAACACTGACATTCTGACTGAATTAACTACTGTTTTTATGTTTATTTTACTTACGGTTTTAACATGTGTTAAAATTAATCTTGTATTTTCCATCAGATTCCTATAATTAATTCTTTTGAGCTAACTGAAACCCAGTAGGCAGATATTATAGAATGCCTTTTCCTTGTTTTGCCATAATATATAAAATATATATATATTTGTTTTCTTTTTTTCCAGAAACGTGTACACGTTCTAGTTACATTGTTTCTGTATGTCAGTTTGACAATTTAATTAACAATCACGTTTTATCAACTTCTTATAAGTATATATATAAAAAAAAAGAATCAACAAAATAAATTAGGAAAGAAATCATTACTCATGCTCATTGATGTAGAGTTCTGACAGCTCATGCCAAGCTTCCTGGTCTCCCACAAACCTGCAGGACAGAGTAGTGGTAGTTAGCACATCAGAAAGGCCACTGTGGACAAAAGGGGGGTCAGGGAAAGGCTTGGGGGGCCAACTGAATCAAATGCAAAACCCCTTTTAATTAACAAGTGGAGGGGAAGGGGGGTCTAAATCCTCTTGTAAAACACTCACTGCTCCAGATATTCGTTGAGCTCGCGGATGGCCTCACTGCTTTTGCCCTGTGCTCGCAGGATGGAGATCTTGCGCTTCCTTGCTGCCTGTTGGGTTGACATCAACAGAGGATTAGGGCTTTAGAGTTTTAAGTGTTTGTTAGCAACAGAAAAGAGCAAAGAGTGAAGAGTGAAAGAAAGAGGCATGTGTAAATGATCATAGTATTGTGAGAGCTGAAGGAATCTCCAGAATCCCCTGGGGTTCTGCTGATCAAACTCTGAAAACAACAGGGACAGCAAAGGCATCTAACAGAGTTGGATTTTACCTCCATGTTATGAGTTTTGATCAGACAAATAATGATTTTGAGATTTACACTAAAAAAAAAAAAAATATTTAGACATATTACAATGACGTTAAACATGGTCAGACTGTCACCAAATAACACTTCGGACAGAACATTTGGGATTTTGGTGGTTCTAGTTAATCTACACAAAACGTCTTATTTTAGTTTCATCAATTTGTGACCGAGTCTTGCATATCCAGACTTCTGGCTTATGGCAAACTGGCCTCATGTTTTCTTGTTTTAACACAAAACAGAACTAAAAAAAATTTATAAAATTACGCTACAAACAAAGTTTCACATCACATATAAAATTCACATTTACAAATTTTCAAACTCAAACCTATATTATACACCACAAAATTATATTTTGTTATTTCTGTCTTTGTATTAACAACTTTAAGTTTTGAGTACAGCTTACTTGAGAAATTTAAGGCAATCTGTTTCCACACATTTGTCTAGTAATGTGAACAAAGCAGACTTGTTAAGAGAACTGTTTTGTTTGAGTTCTGTGCACTAAGCTTAACTTACATCTCTAAGTTGGCTGAACTTGTCAAATTGAGTTAGCAACACTCAAGTTTTCTGGTAACCATATACATATACACAAGTTACCTATACAAAGTTACAGTAAGTTTTATTAACTCAAAAATGATAAACTAATTTGCTTGAGAAATTTGAGGCAATCAGTTTCCACAGGTTTTCCAAGTAAGTTCAACTAATTACTTTTTACAGTGTGGACCGCTATAAGTAAGCCATCTGCCATATTGGAATGATCAAAGCAGGTCTGTGAACACACAAGAGCAAGTTGCCTGTATGTCTGCAACCCTAGTTATATGCATGTATGAATATCTATATCTGCAATAGACTTCACCAGATGATTTTGCTAAACTAACACAATACAACAAGATGAAGTCTTTAGCAAACACAACATTTAAAATGTACTATAGTTTAAAACCTATAATATTGACTAAATACATTAAAAACACAAAACAAAACATTTTTACCTGTGAAAAGTTATCCAATTTCTTCAGGAATTTAATTTCAGCTATTTTATTTAATTTCTTTACAAACAGAGGCTGTGCAATATCATTTTGAAACTCACAGATTTGTATTCTGAGTGACAACACATTAAGTGTTTCAAGATGGCAGACATGTCGACGTGTCTGGAGCGATCGAATGTGGCATCTACCTATACATACAGTATCTATGTTAATGAGCACTGATTTGCATACAGCTGTTACCGGGGAAACCACTGTATTTCTGCTGTTCCAAAAGCGCCACCTGCTGTCAGAGAATGAATTTGTATTTTCAATCAGCCTGTCTGCTGTTTTTGTTAAGAACAGTGCGAAAATTGAATCATATTATTTAAGCACCAAACACACAGCTGTAAATGTGAGCCAGTGGATAGCTAATATGCCCTAATATAAAAATCTTAAGACAGTAAGATATATTTATGTTTTAAATGCATGTAATAATTTATACTTTTGACTGATCCTTTTTCTTAATTGTCAAGTAACTATAAATCACGTTTTTTTTTGTCATATTACGGTTTAATTTGTTAGCACTGACATTTCTCATATGGTATTAATTGTATTTATGCAGGTCTTTAAAAAGGTGTTAAAATTTTAATAATAAAAAAAAACCTGCAGATAACCTGATATTGGCTAAAAGATATTGACTGTAATGTTACCTTCTTTAATTCTACCTCTCAATTTTCCAAAATTATTTTTTCATAAAGCCCCGTAAAATAGCATGTTCAAACAAAGGATGCAAAATGTGCTAAAAGTAGAATTGTGTGGGGGAGATGTTTAATTATGTAAATAAAGTTCTTCGTAATTTGAAATATTTGCATTGGAGCATTTCTCTTTTTTGTATTATAACACAATACAAAACAATCCCTCCCTCCATTGGGGAAAGTGCCATCACAAATAGTGTGTAAATCTGTGGGAAACACGGGGTCTCACAACACCCTAAAAGTGTCAATCCGTTTTTCATGAATTCTGAAATAGGACGTCATGGAGGAGAATTAAATGCTGTCAGTCATTGGGCAGAAGTGCATGTGCAGTTCTTTTTTTCCTCACCTGAGGCAGTGTTATAATAAATAGCCTTGCACCATCAAATTGTCCCAGATGACATTTCCTTGAAAGCATATTATTACTGCATTCAAGTCATAAGTAATATAACAGCAGATACCGAGAAGTAATGTCTTTATCAGATTAGAAAGCCTGTGGATTCTGGTGCATGAGCAACAGCGAGGACACTGCTTACATAAGGAAGAGTAAGAAAAGACCCATTTCAAGTGGTGAAAATAACACATTGCCAAAGAGCCATGGGCCATATGCATTCACATAAACTTATGAAGCCTAGCTTGCATCAGCCACAAATAACGTCCGCCTTGTTCCGATGCAGAAGTGACCTTCAGGCGGATTAGAATCTCATCAATCTGAATCAGAAAGTATTACGCCAGGTTCGACGACTTTTCCAGGAGCGGCTCTTTTTTCCCTTCACTGGTGAAAGGAGAGCAAAGAGCAGAAGCTTTACCGTTAGAAGTGCCCCAGATATTATTTATGAACTGGCACTTGATAGAGTGGGTCTTCCCTACTACCACAGCACGGACCAAACTCCATCAAGCCGGGCATGAGTCACGTCTGAAAGGCCATAAATCTGGAACTGCTATGATACCACCGCCACTCCAAATCCACTTATCCATCAACCAGGCGGCCAGACGAACCTGCTTCACTGGCTGCTCGAGCTAAAGAGTTGATGAACTGCCAAACCCCTACTGTACGCAAGTCTGATAGTACTTACTGGATCAGCGGAAGACATGGTTTCACATTACCGGGCTGCAGATGACAGGTGAAATAAGGCTATAGCTACAACCTCAAGCTGTTTGGATTACTATACCTTCTGTATAGCTATATAACTTTATCCTCCAAAAGTATTTCAAGAAACTGGAACGGAATCATACGGCAATTCCAAATAGTTTAAGCTATCAAATGTTATTGCTAATGTTCAGTTTCTGCCAAAGAACTGATTTCTTTGTACTTGGTACTGAACAAGGCGGAAGACTATTTGCGACCTCAGGTTATTTACTCGGGCCCCATATCTGTCTTTCGTTTCCTCTTAGTGCACTTGGCACTGACAGAAACATACAGAGGCTGGTAGACCAGAGAGTCTTACGAAACTTTATTAAACAATGAGCTATTCCAAACCATTTCAGTCTCTTTATTTCTTTTCCTCCCTCTCGCTTCTTTCGACGTGATCTAGGAAAGGCCAGCATTTCATTTTCTTCGCGATTCTTTCTTTTTAAGCATTTCTGAGTGGCTCTCACCGTGAAGGACCTGGCTGCTTCTATCAACCCCTGGCTCCACTTTCAGACTGCCGTTGAGAGCCCACCTCCAGGGATTTCAAAGGCAAACGTTGTTCCCACAGGGTGAAGAGGAGTTGACTCTCAGTGCTGTGGTGTACCGGCACGACTTCAAAATCATCCTTAAATCAGAGAATTACCTGCTACTGGTTTCAACGTATCCAGACCAAATCTACAATCTTAAGAATGGTTTAAGATAAAAATGATCAGTAGCAGTCAACGAGTTATATCTAAGGGTGTGTTCACACTTGTCATGTTTGGTTCAATTAAAACGAACTCTGGTGCGATTGCTCTGTTAGTGCGGTTCATTTGAGTAAGTGTGAACACTGCCATCCGAACCCTGGTGCGCATCAAACAAGCAGACCGAGACCGCTGAAAAGATGGGTTTCGGTCCGCTTCCAAAGGAACTCTGGTGCGGTTTGAATAATATGTGATGCAACACAGACCAAATACTTCTAAACTAACCAAAAACAAGAAGTAAAGACAAGATGCGACGCTATGCGACATGATTTGACAACACGGTGTAACCAAAACAAAATGAGCAGAGGGCAAACATGCAGCAACTATGAGGTAAAGTGCCTTTTATGAGCTCCTTGCGAGTTTGCAGGTGGTGAAAATAAAATTATATGTACACGCAAGAATGAGTGCGCTTAGCCCAGCAGACGGCATTAGGCGTGCTCGACTTAAAGCGGTGCTGAGCAGACCGATCGGTTAATGGGTGCTTGATATCATACACCCGCAGCAGCGCTTTAAGTCTAATGCACCTTTTGTTTGGGGTGTTCGGTGAGTTCCATCACGATATATACGTCATTCAAGCCGACCAATCAGGTTGTGAACGTATCACTATGCCTTTAGGTTCGGTGTGTTTAAGTTCTCTGTCAAAAATGCTAATGCGAATGCTAAGTGGACCAGGACCAAATGTATCATTTTCCTTTTTGGCCTGGACCAAATGAACCAAACGAACCGAACTACAAGTGTGAACACACCCTAACTGTTCAAAAGGCTTAGAATAACGGTCTCACAAAGTGTCATTTCAAAGAAGAAGGTTGTGCTTTCAGAAAAAAAGACTAAATGTATGAAAGTCCAAATTCATGAGAACATACAAATCTCGTGAAGCAATGTTAAAAGAAAGTTCAGTCAAGAATGACATTCTGTCATCATTTACTCATCCTCATGTCACATTTTATTCTGAAGAATGTTTCAACTGTGCTTGTCTATACAAATGAAAGTCAAAAGGGTGCAAAGCAACATTAGACCCCACTGACTTTATAGACAAAAACAAGTATCTTCTTTAAGTGTTATACAAAAAAACGAATGCCAGATAATTTTCTAAGAACTGTATAAAAAATTAAAAAATTAAAATTGGACCAAAACAGTGTCAGTTCAGAAGAAATCTGTTTGACCTTTACAAACTCCATCTTGTACTGCACTGTAATTGCGTGTAATTCTAGGGGTCAACCTCAGGAGGATTCTCATTGACTTCAATTGCTTTCACAAACACAACCATGTTTATCCTGCTTACAGACAGAGTGAGAGTGCTGAAATTCAGTGAATGCAGTAAGCCTGCTATGTCAATCAGTGTTAAAATAAAAAGCTTGTTAACATTACATTTAAGTGTTCAGCAATTGGCACTGTTTTAGGTGAGTAAAGGTAGACCACTTCAAAGATAGACAGATGGATAGAATGAGCAATAGTTGGATAGACGGAAGAAACAACAGATGGATAGATCGAACGAATGACAGATAGACCAAAACAGACAGATGCATAGGCAAGTAGACTGACAGAATGAACGAACGATAGTTAGAATGATAGATAGATGGATAGATAGACAGATTTAAGTGTTCAGCAATTGGCACTGTTTTAGGTGAGTAAAGGTAGACCACTTCATAGATAGATAGATAGATAGATAGATAGATAGATAGATAGATAGATAGATAGATAGATAGATAGATAGATAGATAGATAGAAGCCAGGAAGAACTTCTCCATATCATTGCTGTAGGTATTGGACCATAATGAGCGATGGAAGGGCTAGGAGTTTGAACATTTTTTGGACACCGCCATGGCAGAGAAACCTTGAGCAATTTTTGTTGATTCAACAATTTTGGTTAATGGGTACCACATCTATTCCACAGCCTATAATTACAACAGTTCAGTTTCCAATCTCAGCTCCGCATGCTGGGATGCCTCACAAGTCCTCACAATAGTCGCCAATTTTCCGCCATTTTCTTAGATCATGCCCTCATCCCATTCCACTGAACAACACAGCGTTTAGATAAGCCTTGCATTTACAGACAGGTGACCTAGATGATGTCATCCCTCCCATACCACAACCTCTTGTCACCCCGCCTGGGATTGAATGGTGGGAAAATACAGTCTAGTTGCCACTGCACAACGACTCTTCAATGGTTTTCTTTCAATCCCTCCCTCAAAATGCACAGCATTTGACAGGAGGTGACTTGCGTTTGGAAGTATCAGAAAACAGGCACATCTCTTTCAGGGCCATCAGAAAAAAATAAGGGCTGAACCTAATTGTGTCAGGGTGGTTCACATGGTTCTCGCCTACACCATTTCCAGAAGTGGGTGAATCCTTCCAAGCCTAGCCTACCATGTTCTGTCAATGTGCATTCAGCGTGACAATAAGACATGGGATTTTTCTGCTTTTCACAGTGAAAACATGCCCCTGATAGCTTAACTGATGGCCTGTTTTGGTCTTTTGACTTAGAGAGCCACCTAATCACCTCTATAAATCCTGAAAGAGTAAAGCCCTACAGCATGACATTTCACAGAGCGATCAAGCAAAGCTTTAAGAATCTGTCAGCCCATTTCACTTCATTTCCCAGACTTCCTGGTTCAAAAAAAAAAAAAAAATGACAGCTGTCTGAGTGATCATTCACAAATGCACATTTCCTTTTAGGAGATGATGGTTACAGCCGGTTTCTGCGAGAGACTGATGAGGTAATGAGACATGGTTGGACAGTATTTTCCAGTGATTTTCCTGCTGAACTGTGTGTAAAAGGACCTTTTCATTATATTGATGGTGACGATTCAAATTTGGGTTAAAATGAGAGTTCATAAATAAAAAGCCATGTTTAACAATTTTGATTTTATTTATTTTTTTAAGTTTACCCAGATTTCACAAAAGGTATGTGTGTAAATATTATATTTCTACCTGCAGCTGTTTAGTAATGGAATATCATATTTCTCCTCATGGTTTTTATTAATACGGAAGACAAAGTTCATGTAAAAGGCAAGACTTTGATGGGGACATTTGCAAAAATCATGGTATTGCCACATTCTTTCCCAAGGCGTGTTTGGCTTGGATAACACTCGGACACTGGGAAACATATTTCCCCAAGGGGAAATTTGTTTCATATCTTTTGGATGTTAACAGAGGGGCAAAGCGATATGATTACTAGATTGTGAAAAATAACGTAACCGCACTGGTTTGATGATATCCGTTTTGAACCGATCTTCTCAACTTCCCATTTACACGGCCTTAAATGTGCTTGCAATTTAACCTTGATCATGGGAATAGGGTGAGTGCCTCGGTTGAAATGCACAAAAAACAAACAGTACAGGCCTCTCGTTTTCAGAGGGAGAAAGACGGATAGGAGCAGTTCGGTCCAACAGTAACAGATAGTTAAATAAATATCAATGGTAATGGTATAACAAATGCAGGGACGAGAGGAGTTTTTTTTTTTTTTTTTTGCGCCCACAAGATGAAGACGGTGATAGCTTAAAGCAATAGTTTAAAATGAAAACCCCAAAATAAAAATTATGTCATTATTTATTCACTTGTTCCAAACCCGCTTGACTTTCCTCAGTGAAACACAAAAAGTGATTTTTATTTTATTATTATTTTTTTAGAATATCCTGGCCAATTTTCAACATAAAACAGAATAAGCACTGGGGCTGTCATGCTCCCAAATGATAAAAAAAACACCAAAAAGTGACCCTAAAGACCTAAAAAAAAAAGTCCATAAAAGTAGTTTCTTTCTCTCCTTGGCAGGTTAAGTTAATGAGAGAAGTAGCAATGTCTGATGTGTGAAATAATTATTTTTCTAGTCAGATCTGTTCAATACATAATTTGACTGATTGATCTGGTTCTTGAATTCAACTCCCTTATTCAATGATCTAGTCAAAACAGTTAACAGTCCAGTGAAGAAGAAGATTATCAATGAATAACACTTTAAAGCTCATGACTCCAGAAGATAAAAAAAAAAAAAAAAAAAATCTAATTATTTTATGATATTTTTATCCTGTTTTTACATACTTTTTTAAACTTAAAAGCTCCCCATTCATCATAATTGCATGCAAAAGAGTGACATTATTAAAAATTGATCATAGAAGAAAGAAAATCATTAAGGTTTGGCACAATATGAGGGTGAGCAAATGATGACAGACTCTTAATTATGGGTGAACTATCCCTTTAAGGCAGAAAACAGGCAGAGAGAGCGATCACCAGGGGGAAGGGGGTCCTGCCGGAGCGCATATGAGGGTTTATTGACTTTGCCAGTAAAGCCTCCATGTGTTCAAAACAGATGAACGGTGAAGTGTGGAATCCGTGCATGATATCCAAAGAACAAAAGTATCCGCTTATTCATGCGCACTTTGCCAGCCAAGAGAAAATGTTTAAAACATCTAAGCAAGTCCATGTGTAAAGACGTGTTTTGCGTCTACAGGGAAGGACCAAAACAAATAAGATTATGAAAACACTTTAAAACATTTATTTTCTTGCATAGCTGCACAGCCCTTATGCAAGAACAAAATGTGTTTTGAGGTGATGGTGGAAAGATATTGGAAAAACATGGAGCATACTTGGATATTGTAAACCACTCCACTAAAAACTAATTTATTAGTTTACACTCCACTAAATAAATATTAAGTGAATAAAAAAAACAGACTTCATGTGTTACGCCAAGACAAGACAAATCAACAGCTAATGGTACATTTGGGCTTTTAATACCTAAGTGATCTATAAATAATAAATAAATTTAGGACTGAACCACATACTTTAAAGGGAAAGTTCACCCAAAAATAAAATACACTACCGTTCAAAAGTTTGGAGTAGGTAAGATTTTATTTTTTAAAGAAATTAATGTATCTATGCACAAAAGAAGCATTAAATTGATCAAAAGTGACAGTAAAGACATTTATAATATATATATAATATAACTTTCTATTGAAAGAATTCTGAAAAAAAGAATCACGTTTCACAAAAATATTAAGCAGCAAAACTGTGTTCAACATTGATAATACGTCTTGATAATACGGTAAATCTCACACGTGCGGGCTTTCACATGGAGCAGCCTTTACTACACAGAGCTGTTGTTCACTGACAAGCTGCGCAAAACCACGATCATATTTTGCGCAGCTTGTCAGTGAACAACGGCTCTGTGTAGTAAATGCTACTCCATGTGAAAGCCCGCACGTGATGGAGATTTACCGCTGATTACAGAACCGGCTTTACTGACAAGATGCACATTAAATATCGCATGCGATTTATCGTGCAGCCCTAAATGGTAGTGTAACTGTGTAAAAAATCTGACCAAAATTTAATTTGTTATTCACTGATCCTCACCTCTAGTGGATCATGGAGTCATTGAGTTGAACTCAAGAACCCAATCACTAAAACTCTAAAAACTATTTGTTTTGTGAGGAAATAAAACCCAATGCAGTTGTAATGACATACAGGTGATTAAATGAAGACCGAATTTTCATTTCTGGATGAACTATTCCTTTAGGGTATCTAAAGGTTAAAGGTAAAAAAAACGAAGGGAAAAAATCAGCACCTCTGGGACCGCTCTATGGAGTCTCAGGAAAAGCGATAAATCCCCATCTTCAAAAGACAAGGCATTTATTTTTGCTGAGTTTGCCACGGCTGTGTTTAATGCAACTGAAGTCCATAAATCAATGGTCTTTGTTACCCTCACACACTTGTAGTACTGCGTTTGCGTGTGTGTGATTTTAGCAGCTGAGGTCACTGCAGGGAGAAAGCGTTTAACTTATATGGCTGACATCTTACAAAAAATAACTTTTTAGACACCAAAACAACTTTCAAACACACTTTTTTTTTGCTTACCGTATTAGTCGGGTCATCTTGTAGTATTGAATCATACAGCTTATTGGCATCCTCATACCTTCAACAGAAAGATCATGCTTAAGGATAATCAACAGGAACACCGGTCATGTGAAATTAAGTAGTAGGGCTATCAAATAAAGTTCACAGTAACCAACTTTTTATATACACAGCGGCTTGTTTCTATAGTGACTGAGACTATGTATCCAAGCGGCAGAAATAAACAGTCATTATTGTACCTCCTCAAATAGCCAGTGTTGTGTGAGGTTTACTAGCTCCACAAAAGAGCGTAATCCACAAACGTGATTGCCTGCACTTTGATTTACCTCTAAAACAAATCAGCCTGCACTTCCACCACAAATCAGGCATCGTTTCGAAGCGCATTTTGTTTAAAAAGCATTCAGAGAAGAGACGTATATGAGTTACAGATGCAAAAAAATAAATAAATACACTCAACGGGCCTTTCAACCTGAACTGAGGGTTGGAGAGCACAGAGTGTTTGAAAAGGCATTATGAATTACGATGCTGATCTCATACAGTGTTTTCTGAAGAATAGGAGGACAATGCCATAAGCACTTCACTTTTCATGTCGAATGAAAGATGAAATCGAGTTTGTTTGTTTTTTTACGAGGGACAACCTGCAAAGCTAGCAGCCGGTCTTATGATCAAAACCTGTTTCAGCCTGCAACCAACAACAGAAGCAGCTATGGTTCTTATTATAATTTAGCTCCAACGCCACTCCTCTTCTCACATCCACATTAGAGCTCAATCACTCTCTGGCACATCTCACATGGCACCAGCCACTTTGACTTACTCTATTTATGTAGGATTCAACCATGTGGGAGAGTTTCATTTAAGCCGAGCATCTGATGGCAATTAGATCCAAATTTGCAGTTTATTTAATCTGACTGTGCAGGCGTAATCATTCACAATTACGAAACAACCTCTGGTATAACTGATAAACATGTTGAAGATATGGTGAGCAGACTGAAACAGATCTGAAATCCTATACATTAACATCAATTTATGGCCTTCTTAAAGGGATAGTTCACCCAAAAATGAAAATTTGATGTTTATCTACTTACCCCCAGGGCATCCAAGATGTAGGTGACTTTGTTTCTTCAATAGAACACAAACGAAGATTTTTAACTCAAACCGTTGCATCACGGATCAAGAATCACGGCTTTGAGAGTCAAAAAAACATACACAAACAAAACCAAATTAAACCCTGCGGCTCGTGACGATACATTGATGTGTAAAGACATAAAACGATCGGTCTGTGCAAGAAACTGAACAGTATTTATATAGTTTTTTACCTCTGATTCACCGCAATGTCCGAACTGTCCTGAGCGCATTCTCAACAGCCGGTGCGTGACGCGTCTTCTTCTTCTTGCTTTACGGCGAATCACAGACTTATAAGTGCATTACCGTCACCTATCTCTCAAATGGACCATTGACACTATCTACAATCTCAATTAGGTTTTGTTTGTGTATGTTTTTTTGACTCTCAAAGCCGTGATACCCATTCACTTCTATTAAATGACTGACAGACTGGAACGGTTTGAGTTAAAAATCTTTGTTTGTGTTCTATTGAAGAAACAAAGTCACCTACATCTTGGATGCCCTGGGGGTAAGCAGATAAACATCAAATTTTCATTTTTGGGTGAACTATACCTTTAATTATTTCCTCAAGCATAGAGACAAGGGGAATTTTTCTCAGAGAGGAAACGCAGAATATAGGTACTATGTTTAGTACTATGGGGGGGCACAGAGGGACCCCAGAATAATAGCGGGAAAGACCACTTCCATCTTCTGAATTCCTCGCTCAGGCAAAAGAGCCACAGGACTACCAAAGGCTAAACCGTTCTCTCTCGCTTTTCCACTTAGCAGAAGGAACGGTGGCTTGCAAAATAAACAGCCTCCCTTCCCACGCATCCTGCCACTTACGTCCCAGAACCCCCCACCCCCCCTCACCCTCCCTTACAGCTAATTCAAGGCCATGGTGTTAAGATGGTGCTGCGGTGTGTCTTACCTCTCCAGAGCCTCCAGACGCATCCCTGCTAATCGCTTCACTCTGTGACTGTCTGGAAACTGCCTCTTCAGCTCCTGTAGGCAACTCTACGCAAAACACAACAACAACAATGTTGGGGTTGATCATGCAAACATGCAACTTTTCCAAATAGTCTCCGTAAACAGGTTTTCTAAACATTCTCTGTCTGCCATTGGTCTGTCAAGATCCTGTTGTAAATTTTCACTGCTGGTTAAGCCAATGTGAGAATCTACCAAAAAATGGCCCTTTTTAAATATTAAAACTACATTTTTAAATATTTTATTTCTAATATACTTATAAGTTTACACCACTGTTCAAAGCTTGGGGTCTGTAAGATTTTTTAAATGTTTTTGAAATAAGTCCCTTATGCTCAAGGCAAAATTTATTTGATCAAAAATACAGTAAACAGTAATATTGTGAAATATTATTACAATTACAAATAACTGTTTTCTGTTTTAATGTATTTTAAAAAAGTATTTAATTCCTGTGATGGCAAAGTTGAATTTTCAACAGCCATTAATCTAGCTGATTCGGATGATCCTTTAGAAATAATTTTCATATGCTGATTTGATGCTAAAGAAATATTTCTTATATCAATGTTGAAAAGAAAACTTTTTTTTTCAGAATTTTTTGATAAAGTTCAAAAGTTTTTTTTGAATGGTAGTGTTTATTATTTATACTGAACCTGGTTTCATTCTTTGTTTTTTGACTAGAAGAGAGAGAAATGAAATGGTTCTTTTATAAACAAAAAATATTTAATATTTAGTTTAAAGGGTCAATAGATAATTCTAATTCTTTTTTTACATTTCATATGTCAGGCGTTACAGAGTTACCATAAAAAAATGCTGACAAATTAAACATCAGTCATGATTATTCGCAAATAAAGAATTCATATATTTTTTGCACCACAGTTTGAGTGGTTATGCAAAGCTTGCTGAATTATAGAGCACTTGAAAATTATACTACAACTCTCAGGGGTGATGAAATGTGGGCTTCGTACATTTCTTTCACTCACAGCATTTAAAACTTTATAGATCTACTCTAAAAAGTGTGATGTGACTAGTTTGACAAGACAAAATTACAGCGAAGGATTCTGCTGACCATAAAATGAAACAGTAACTTTCCTGTCCGTGGGTCCCATGATAAACAGGTCGGCCATACAGCAGTGAGGGAAGATGTGAAAAATTGCAAGTGACGTGGGTGAGAATTCAAAGCACTGCACAGCGGAATCCCACAATTCCACACTGGCTACTATAAAAAGCAGAAGCAGGATGCAACTTTTACCAGTTCTTTCCCACTAAGATGAACAGGCCCGTTTTTTTTCACACACTCATGACTTGGTGAGGAATGGTTACTGTCAAATCCAATGTTTTCTTGGTTAGGATGGAAAGTTTGCTCTGTGGCTTATCCCGGCTGACCCATCATGCTCACAGACGGTTTTTCCCTGCTGTTTTCCTAGCCACTGGTAAGAACCTCAGAAACTGACTACTGTACGTGTTTCAAGTCAACAAGGAGGATCCGGAACATCCCTGATTTGAATCTCAAACCATTTGCTTTTTCAAAAGAACCACGTGAAACGTTGTTGCATTTTCAATGGGCAAAAATCATTTAAAGCTTAGCGAGTAGAGTGACAAGCTGAAGAGACCTTAGTCAGGGTAATGCCATATGTATTTTTGATTTATTTACATTTTAGGAATGAAAACATTACATTACAGTGCGTTCAATGGATTGTACTGATGTTTAACAACAAACCGATTGTTCAGCTGACGAAGCATTTAAAAAAAAAAAAAAAAAAAACTTTCAGTAGACAAAAACTCTTGAAACAGTCTTGAAAATTACATGATCTAGGACTTTTTTACAGTGCGTGCCATTGTAAAGTCTGTAAATCTCTCCCTCACTGCCTTGTTTTCATCCACGTTCAATATGGCGTCAAACCTGAAGGTCTATAGATGAGAGAGTGCAAAAGTTACTCAAAGAAAACTCACCCAAGCCAGATCGTCACGACTGCAGTCCAGCGCTGCAATCATCACCTGCTCGTAAATTATCCAAACTGAGCACAGGAGACAAACAGAACATGACACCATATTAGGAAGTCCATTGGTAGCAAAGATGACAAATGAACATCGAGCCCATGTGAACTCCTTTCGAGCAAACTGTGACGTTTCTTCTCTGTATCATTAGAAAAGACAATCTTTAGCATCCATCAGCGACATACTTTGTCTTCGTAATCTCCGGGTGTGGGCGAGCTGGCAGGTTTCATGGAAACGGTCAGGAAATTCACGCCACGTCGCCAAACAAAACTAAGACGCTGAATTTTGACAAGAAAACCTTAGCGTATTCATCAGTTTTATGTATCAGTTCAGTCAAACGCCGCAAAGGGTGAGCGAATTTCACTCTCTCTTCGTCATGACATGTGTTATGTGCTGAAATTGCACAGCTATCGTCGTCTCGGCCCAAAAAGTACGCCGTTACTTTGACAGATTACAGGAATTTACAATTCCTACAATTAAATGCTTAAGTAATTTCCAAGATGGCAACATTTAATGTTCAACTGGCAACCGTAACAAAGCTAGTGGCTTTAGCTGCTCTATTTACAATAAAGAAAACTGATTAGGGGGCTTGGCTAATGGATCCAATTAATGAAATTAATGCTCCATGACAGACAGACAAGTGTGTTTTGACAAGCATGCCCGAGTCTATCGGCTGAATGATTTCAAATGTGCTAATTGAGAAAGAACAATAAAATCCTACTGAACAAGAGTTTTTTGAGCTGTTTTTATGATTCCAAGTCTTGCTTTGATAATTACCATCTTGTTTCACAGCCAATTTAAGAGCTGGTTTCAATAAAAACAAGCTGTGTAAAGTATTTACCCCACTCTTTAAGGACAGTATGAATCATAATCACAACAAAAACATAAAAGTTTCTGTAAAAAGACTATATCATGCATCAATAAAATACAACTCATCACAAGTACTCTTCACCTCTTTCAAGGTGCACTTTGTGTGAGAAGTAGAAGAACAATAGCTAAGACTTTCACTGATCTTTGCTTTGTTCTTTCCTTAATTAGATAACAGGCCTATGTAGAAATTTGAAAAGCTTCCTATAGCCACGAAAATCATCGTAATTTTTTATGTTTGCTTGTATGAGCACATGTATTGCAATAAATGCCTTATTGAGGGCTGTTTGGCAACTTACAGCTTGGCTCTTTCATTGCTGTTTGCTAAGATTCCTCAAAAAGTGGTGTTGTTCTTTGACGAAACAGCCAAAAGACATTTAATAATAGTTATTTGAGATTACATGTGGTTTTAAAATAACAATATGAATGACGAAAAAAGGCATAAATTCGATTTGTGTAGCAAAAGAGCCCAATTTCTCCAATTGGTAAACCAAAATTGTCAACTGTAGGAGTGAGTTTTAGAGCCAGTATGAAGGATTGGATCACCTCTGAGATAATGATTTTAGCTGAAGGGAATTCTGGCTTTAGTAGCCATGTTTGACAACACGATTGCAGGACTTCATCTGCTTGTCTGACCAAAGCAAATAAATATTAAGCCATCTGAAATGTTTCTGCTGTTTCCACTATAACCTCATTTCAATGTCAAGAGAAAAGCTGAAAAGTCTTTTTGCTATCAAATATTTAAGGACAAATCAAGAAAATCACCAAGGAAAGAAAAAAGAATTGGCCTTCTGCAATAGTCATATTCAAGCATTCAGACACTCAACAGTAGGGCTGGGTATCGTTCAAAATGTTTTCGATATCGATACCGATACCTTGACTTCGATACCGGTTCCTGAACGATACTTTTTTCGATACCAATTTTATGAAATCAATTTTAACAAGATTACATTATCTAAAAAAAAAAAAACTTTGGTTTTATTTTTCAGCTTGTTGATGTTTATACAAACTCAAAGACTCATCTCCTGAGCCACTGCACAAAGGAACAATATGTAACCAACACAATAAATCAGTGCAAAATAGTTTTAATAAAGCTCAAATAGTCTTCAGTTTACACATCTGTTAGGCTACATTTACACTAGTTAGTATAACATATTTAATTTCAGCAACATTACATGGCCAAAACACACATTAGATGGCAGGTCCGGATTTACCTATATTTACACATTTTTGGGCCCCCTTCCCTGTTAATATAATAGACCTAATATTACCACCCAAGCAAACAAAAATATTTCTTAATCAGTGGAAACCGATACAGTGTTTTCTATCGGAATAAGCGCTTGCGTTCAGTCAATAAAAATCGAATAGTTCTTAATTTGTTTGAGAACTGAGAAAGACCATTCCATATAGTCGTGGCTAGGGATGCACGATATATCGGCCACCATATCGGTATCGGCCCATATCGGCTCATTGGCTCATGATAAGAAAATTTGGCCGATATCTTAAAGCCGATAAATAATGCATTATTTCCTTTTTACATTTAGTAAAAAGTGGCTGTGAAACATCAGCTCCAGTGGCGCAGATAGATAAGTGCGTGTCACCGACTTTTTGATGCGATCGACCCGGGTTCGATCCCGCCTTTTGCCGAGCTTTTCTTTCCTCCCTTTTCAAATCTCGTATTAGCAATGGATTCTATTTACACTAAGTGAAAATAGCAGTATTTTTAGCAATATGCTATTTACACTAAGTGCAAATACCTAGTTACACTATGTTAAAATAGCAGGATTTCTACTATCAAGTATACTACTTGTTGCAAATAGTGGCAATTATCTGCACTTCAGTATTGTAGTACATTATAAAACAGTATGCAATAATAATGTAATAAATTATAATTTAAATTTAAATAGATGCCACCTTATTGGTACAATAAAGCCCTCCCTACACCCACCCGATACTTTATTTTCAACTTTTTGATTATTTCCTTAATTTATATTGAAAATAAATGCCTTTACGGTGTGATACGAGATTTGAGAAGGGAGGGGAGGGGAAAAAAGAACGGCAAAAGGCGGGATCGAACCCGAGTCGATCGCGTCAAAAAGTCAAGGGCAAGAACTTATCCATCTGCACCACTGGAGCTGATGTTTTACAGCCACTTTTAACTAAATCTAAATATACACTCCGTATTTTCTATTCCAGAGTAAAGGCAATTGGTGTATATTTACATTTAGTAAAAAGTGGCTGTGAAACATCAGCTACAGTGGCGCAGATAGATAAGCGCGTGTCACCGACTTTTTCATGCGATCGACCCGGGTTCGATCCTGCCTTTTGCCTAGCTTTTCTTTCCTCCCTTTTCAAATCTCGTATTAGCAATGGATTCTATTTACACTAAGTGAAAATAGCAGTTGTGTTTTCTGACTTGTTATAATGTTTTCTGAATTGTTATGTTGTTTTTAGACTTCCATTTGCGTTTGTAATTTGTTATTTTGTTTTCAGAATTGTGATTTGTTCTACACTTCTCGGCCACCGTAGATAACAGAGGCTTGAGCCATTGATATATAGGCTTACGAAGTTATTAATGCAGTCTAATGCGGTTATTAGAGAGAGGAAGAAAGAGAGATTAAGTGCGTGTGAATACCTGCGTCTATGCGTCTCTCAGCAGCAGCATCTACTAATAGGGAATCTTTAAGTTAAACTCCTTCATGAACCTTGCTACTGAGAAATGTCATGCAGCTTTTCAGCTGCGAAACTATTTTACTGATACATTTGCGGTGCAGCGCAAGTTTCTGTTCGCTTCTCCGCGTGTCTGCACTGTGTGTGCGTCTGTGAGAGAGACTGGGAGAAAGAAAGCCTGATTTCCGTAGACTACATAAAAAAGGTGGAAGACATGGAAATAGTTTGTAATTTTTTACCCTATTGTTTGTTTTTATATGTATTTGCTCAATGTCTTGAGCAATGCGTAAATCCGGCCCTGTTAGACGGCAATCGGAAGTTATTACAAACACTCGATGGTGGTTTAAAGTGAGTTTTGAGTAAAAGCGGAATATAAATCTTATTTATTGTCTTATGTAGCATGATGCTACAGTTTGCATGAATGGTCACATAACACGCGCTTTCGGTCGTGTAACGTTAGTATGAGCGGACATCTGCATATGATCGAAACTCCACGCAGCTCCAGCGCTACTCTATACTGGTGGTATTACAGTACCACGAGAGCTAAAGAGAGCAGACTGCTCCGTGCGCTTTAGATTCGCTCTCGCGGATGATCGATCTGCACTGCACCTCTTCTAGTCGAACACACCGGCAAGTGCTGCAGGCTTATTGGCTCACTGACGCTGATGAGATTAACCCCTTAGGTATCGAAATTTGGTACCGAACGACAAGACGTTTTTCGATACTCGATGGTATCGAGGCAATTCGGTCGGTGCCTAAAAAGTATCGAACTCGATACCCAGCCCTACTCAACAGACAATACTTTTGTTAGAGAGAAAAATAAGAGTGTTCAGCATACATGCGTTTATAAATGTGTGTTTTGTTTTTTTCTGGTTTTGGGATCCAAATCTAAAAAAAAAAAATTACTTTTGAAACAAATTAGTGGAACATTAGTGTATCCAAACACTTCAGCCAAAAAAATAAATAAAATTAATGACATTTAATGCTGAAATTTGCCATAAACTTCTTATTTTGAAATGTACTGCCTAAAGGAAAATAAATGTTAATGGCTTGCACCACTGAACTTTTATTGCCCAGACTGTTCTACAGACCGCAAAACCTTAACTAGTCACTTAGTGAGGTTTATTTATATTTTTATAAAAATGTAAGTTTTTAGTGGCAGTGGTTTAAAAAGTGAATTTAGAGGCAACTTCTCAGAGAGTGTTTTATCTCACATTTTAATAGTAAAGCCTTTCAGAGAGGTTGCACTTTAAATTCATTCCTCTTTAAATCACTACCGCTGCAGCCATCAATGCAGTGCTTTTGTAACAAACTCGCCACCTTCATAAATTTCAAGACAATTACTGTCAAACTTCAGATCTCCTGCTGTGGGAAATGTTCTTATTATTTGTCTAATGGGAATATAACTTCAATGTTTTGTGAGGACTATGATGGTTCCATGCAATAAAATGTTATAGTTATTCAACCTATTTATTTTTTAAATATCTGTCAGTTTTTCTATTGAAGAGATGAGCTTAGTGTGCATAAAAGATTGTTGTCAGGTAGACATCACCCTAAACCGGATCTAATTATAAAACTCATTAAGTTTATAATTAACTCTACACTGCAAAAAATTATTGTGATTTTAACAGTAAAAGACTGTAAAAATACTACAGTAAAAACCTGCTAATTGGTTAACAGTAAGTTTCCATACTATATACGGTGAATAAATGTAATTACATTTGATGTAATTTTACAGTAAAATAAATGGTAGAAATACGGTTTTTGGAAGTGAAAAATAAAAGGTCATTGTATAATTTGCAGTGAAAAAATGTAAATCGACACTCTCAGAATTCCCTGCATGACACTTCATATTTGATGGGGGGTTTTTTTGTTTAAATAACTATGTTTCTTCTTAGTTTTTTCTTATCAGTTGTGTACATTAGGGTTTTATCTTGCATCTAATGTTGTTAAATTAATGTTATTGCATTATTTCAGTATAATGTGTGTTATACTTTCGCTTCAGCCTGAGGCTTACTCATTTCACTTTTGGTGTGAAAAGGCTTTTATATATTTGCCAAAAATATAACTTTTTTTATTTTAAAAACAAACAAGCAAGCCCTGTCCAGAATTAAAACGTAACGCAAAAGTAACGTAACACATTACTTTCCATAAAAAGTAACTAAGTAACGTAATTAGTTACTTTTTTATGGAGTAACGCAATATTGTAATGCATTACTTTTAAAAGTAACTTTCCCCAACACTGACCATGATGGTGTTTAGTGTTTGTGTGAATGACACTGCACCTTCTATATATAAATATTGCCCTCCTCAGTTTGTGATGAGCTTTGGTTCATCATGTGACTTTCTCATCACCACCAGTTTTTGGTGGTTATCAGTGCATTACAATGGTTCAAAACTGATATTAGTACTTCAATATGTTGGTTTATTAATATTACATCAGTTAATGAATTACGGTATTTTATTGTGAATTTCAGTTAAGTCTGTAAAACCTAAAATGTAGCTACCATATTTTTAACGGTGAAGTTCTGGCAACCACAGCTGCCGGTATTTTACCGTAAATGTCACAGTGTATAATGTTATAGAGGCTAAATGTTATTTGTGTTTTATAACTTCTTATAACTTTGCTTTTGTTTACTGTAAATGTACTTACTGTCATCTCCCAGTTTAGATGCGTGCTCATTAAGCAGCTCTTCACCGACATCCACAATCTGCTCACTGTTCCTGTAATTCTCTTCTCTCCACTTACGGAGTTTGTCACGCATTTCTGAAATGCAAGAAAGAGACACATTAGTGCTTGGCTGAAACTTTATAACCAATTTAATTTCATCAATTATTTCTTGTGAATATAACATACTTTCTATATTCATATTCCTACTTGGTTTTCAATATCTTTAGTTCTCCATTAGACTGACATGCTTCCTGACTACATACAGGGTTCCCACTCTTTCATGAACACCAGCTTCAGGGACTTTCAATTACTTTTTAAAGCACCATTTATTTTATATCAAGCACCTATCAAATTCACACCACAGAATATGTAGTGTCATGAAAGACCTTACAGTACTTAACATTTCACTTACACTTAACATTTACATTACAAATTTCAGAGTAATAATGTTTTGAATGTGTAGGTTTCATAAATTTTGACCGTTTTGAGCAGTCGTGTTCAAAGGAATTTAATTAAATCCATTGAAGTCAGTACTGGTGATAAAATTAAATTTCTAAAATATTGATAAAATATGCATCAAACTGATTTTTGCTGTAGTTCTTGTACGAGATTTAAATTTGAAAGAATTTCTCAATTTTTAAATTAATAAAAAGTGGCTAAATGTTGTAATAACATGGTAAAACCTGTTAACATTAAACATTTGCATACGTTACTCATTAATGAATAAACTCAAGTCAAAATAATTTTGTAAATTACTTTTTATTGTAAATCCCATTTTTTCATCTTTGACCTAGGAATTGAGCTCAAACATGCAGCTGCTCAAAACGTCAGTATTTTTGAAAATATTTTATGAGCATTTATAAACCTTGTACATGTGCAAATCTGTAAAAAAAATTATATAAAGAAAAGAAAAGAAATGAAAAAAATAGGACTTTCTATTTGCAGGTTTCATAAATTTAGACCGTTTTGAGCAGTTGTGTTCAAAGGAATTTAATGAAATCCATTGAAGTCAGTACTGGTAATATTCAAATTCAATTTCTAAAATATTGATCAAATATGCATCAAACTGGTTTTTGCTGTAGTTCTTGTGCAAGATTTAAATTTAAAAGAATTTCTAAATTTTTAAATTAATAAAAAGTGGTTAAATGTTGTAATAACATGGTAAAACCTGTTAACATTAAACATTTGCATACGTTACTCATTAATGAATAAACTCAAGTCAAAATAATTTTGTAAATTACTTTTTATTGTAAATCCCATTTTTTCATCTTTGACCTAGGAATTGAGCTCAAACATGCAGCTGCTCAAAACGTCAGTATTTTTTGAAAATATTTTATGAGCATTTTAAACCTTGTACATGTGCAAATCTGTAAAAAAAATTATATAAAGAAAAGAAAAGAAATGAAAAAAATAGGACTTTCTATTTGCTTTTAAACTGTAAACGCTTTTCACTAAACTGTTTTTCCAATTTTTAAAGTTCTACATTTTCTCCTTAGCTCCATGTTGCAGTACGTTTTGGGAGTTCATTTTTAGTCCATCTCCTATCCTGAAAAGTCTGTCTTGCAGAGACTGACAAAAATTAGCTCCTAAAACTTACTGCCAGATTCTTGAAGATCAATTCTTCTAACAGTGGTACAAGAGGATGTGGTGCTGGTTCTTCAAGAGTCACTCTCAACTTATCCATCTATAAAGCCTATAAAAATAGTCTTCATGTATTTCACAACCCTTCAGAATGTTATTCTAATTAAGTAGGGGTCATTTTTAAGGATTTTTTTACCCAAGAAAAGTCTCTGAGAACCTGACACCTTGTAATTCTGGAGACTCAAGGTTGCAGTTCTGGAAAATAGTGGCACTGGAGACTAAAAGGTTCCTGATAGTTTCACACCTAATTCTTCACATTAATTATTCATTATTCTGCAGTTAACATGCTCTTTTCTTCTCCACCTGTTTTTTCTGACCCCACTGACCCAATGAGCCTTTTGCTGACCAATGGTCATGCCTTAACTTTGAAATTTCTGTATTGCATTAGTTTTTAATATTTTTCATGGGGATTTAATCATTTTTGACTTCTCAGACGGAGTTAATTCTCATTTTTGGCTCATTTCATCTGTAAAAGAAAACCTGCCTAATAATTCTGCACACTTTAATAAGGAGTTTTTTTTATTTCCAGCCTTCATGTACAATAATATATCACTTCTAAATGATTAAATACAAAAATAATAGTAGTTATTAAGATTGATGTGGTTTGGAATTGGTCAAATGTGCTTGGAAAAAAATATGATCAGAATATCAACGTGCCTAATAATTATGCACACACTGTAAGATGTGCTCCCTTTACACAGAGTAAGCATGATCGCGAAATCAAAAGTGAAAGTGAACAGCGAGCGCTCATTCAAATGCGATTTCAATACCCCGCATATTGATAGCGGCTCCCTGATGTGCAAACATAATATACAATATTAGAATGTTTGCAGGAGCGGGACACACACTTTGCGGGAGTGGGCGGTAATGGTCAGAAATTCAGCGGGATCGGGCTTAAGAAAACTGTCCCCAAGGCTCTAGGCTGCGCATCAACACACACGCTAAGTTTTTTCGGCTACCCCATCTCCACCCCCAATCATTAGTGTCGTTTCGCTCTGTCTTTGACAGAACATATAGGACAATTTTTGAAATAGCGCCATAAAAAGGGGTTGAAGCAAAAAATATATATATTTTGACTGAATATTTTTCCTCAGCCAAACCCCATTCCACAGCCATACCTGTCACACACACAGTTTAAAAGCATGTTTTTCTTCTTGTAATTAGGAGCGCTTGTTCTCCTAATTCAAAAAATATAGGAGCACCTTCTGATCAATAATAAAAAATTCTGATAAAAAATTAGCCTTCCTAATACGAGGTGACATTTCACTCAAAGTGTAATGGCATCTTCTTCATCTATGTCAAATTCAAAAATGTATGTTTATAAGCTTTTTAAAATTTCTATTTAAAACAATATAATAAGAAGTAGAATAAGACAAATAGGTTACCAATCATATGAAATTAGTATTAATAAAAAATTTATTTGTACTACAGAGGTGGCACAGAAGAACACAAAAGTGGCTTGTAGGTACATTTTCAGACGTTTAATGAGGCTCAGAGGTGGCATGAGTGCAATTAAATTCATACATTTATGTGGAGATTAATGTTTTAAATATAACATTTTGAATACAGAAATATTAAATGATTTAAATAACTGAAATGATACGCTAAAAATGAAACTAAATCCACCACCCGATAGTGACAAGTCACTGATTTTATCACTGAATCATTCATTCAATTGATTAATTCAAATGGCTGATTCATTCAGGAATGAAGCAAGTGACTGTCGTTATGAATGGGTAATCTTGAATCACTGACTCACTAGATTCGTTCAAAAA